AAAACTGTGCACGCTAAACACTTTTTAGATTAGAAAAAGTTTCCCCCTCCGGGGAGGAAAAAGTCTGTCTGAAAGAAACACTGTTGTCGCGCTACCCGAAGAATTGCATGAAAGAAACTGCAAGCAAACCACTTTTTAGATTAGACACATTAATTAAGCGGTAATTTTATTAAAGAGTATCGATGCCCCAACCCGAAGAATAGTATGAAAGAAACTCTTCACGCTAACCACTTAGATTGGACAAAATTGCCTTTTTATTAAATGTTTTCTCGAGAATCAATGACGTCATATTACTGTGTGCACTCTCCGGCTTGATACTATTTTCTACTATATACTAAATGTGACGTCATATTTCGTTTTCATTTAACTATGCATGTTTTTAATTTGCTTGTGTTTTCTCTATAGCGTTCTTGTCAGATAGATACACAGACAGATAGATACATAGACAGAAAGCGAAACTATTAGTATTAATATATATGTATATATATATATATATATATATATATATATATATATATATATATATATATATATATATAATTTATTTAATCAGATGTTTAATTACAAATTAAACATTAATTAAACGGTTTCAAAACAAAGGGGAGATATATTTATTTACTGGATAGATTAGTATATTCAACTTCGACTTCATGAATTAGAAATCAATAAAAAGTTGAAAATCTTCAGCTGAATAATTATTAGAAATAAACGCAACAGCTCTTTCCTGTCTGCACTAACATTACACACTTAAATAACCGCCCTGATACGGTAAGCCTCTCCATTCACCCATATGATCGAATCAGTTAAGGTTTAGTCTTGTTCATGCGGTTAGTTATATTATATGAAGACGTTTTCAATCAGAACTGTTTGTGTATATCTTAGCTGGTAATAATAAGGTCAACTGGGGCATGGGGATGAATTGGTGGTTGAGTACCTAGACACCACTCTGAACCAAAATATTTTGTTTACTATATACAGCAGCACGGTATTAAAATTTAAAATTTAAATATAAGGACGGCTTTCATTATGCATTTTTTTTCACTGATTGCATGATGCATATCAGGTTGTTGTGAAATGTTTTAGAAAAAAATAAATAAATAAATAATATGTTATTTTAAAGGCCCCTAAATATATATATATATATATATATATATATATATATATATATATATATATATATATATATATATATATATATATATATATATATATATATATCTTAAGTATTAGTGAGATTTATCTGCCAGTGGGTTTGAACTCGAGACTTTGTTCGATTTATCAACCATGAGCTTTTTGCCGACTCGACCACGCCTCCAACACAATTAAGCGTTACGTGTCAACTGGTTATGCGTTATTGAGGCCATTGACTCTGATTTCAGCCTGCTTTTCTTTTTGCATTTGCTTCCATAGCCTTTGTCCAACCAAGAACAAACTACAAGGCAGCAGTTGTTTAATTTTGGAGTTGTCTCTTCTAGAAGAGTGGCTGTCCCCAGCTAACGAGCCTCATCTGCCCGAGGGTTCGAACTCAAGACTTTTCGGTTTAGCAACCATAAGCTTTACCGACTCGACCACGCCGACCCCACAACGTGTTACCAATCATATGTTCTAAGACGCGTGACCGTCTTTTCTAAAAGTGAGTTATTTAAATGTAAACGCTTGGATCATAAATATCGGGACACCGGTTTACCTACACTACCGCATGAAAACCTTGAGTGTACATTAATCACTCACCGAAATAATATGGTAGAACACACTTCGGTGACCGCCCATGTGTCAGAGACGTAGAGGGGCGCTCTCAGGGCCCCCACCCCCCGATTACACAACCGCATAGGCGCGGCGTACGACCCCCTGGCTCCTTAAAACTAACAGGCACCATCGGCCAAATAGCATCCTGTTAATAATGATGCAGATTTCGTCATTCGCTAAAGTGACACAAATGAACAGGATTTTTTTCTTTAACACGTAAAAAAAGTATTTGACGTGTTTTAAACATCAGTGTAACTGATCAATATGCTAGCGTTACTAATTGTCTATTATTAGATGCTCGATCTCAATTTCTGACTGGATTGTCTAATAATAGATGCGTATTGCATCATTCGCAAAGTGACGAAACTCTACAGTAGGCTCCTCATATTTAACTCTCAGCTTCCGAGTTTTTTTATTACAACACCTTAGATACGCATCACCGCCTCTGGTGTCTCACCAATCACTCCCCTTTCGGATGTTTTTCGCCCCATGACCCCACCCCTACAACCCTCGTGCCCCCATGACCCCACCCCTACAACCCTCGTGCCACCATGACCCCACCCCTGCAACCCTCGTGGCCCCATCTCTTTTCGTACTATTTATTCTGTATGAATATGGTTTCTATTGTTCCTTTTCTAATCGGTTTTATTTACATAACATTCACGTTTTTCATTTTTTGTCATAATGCGCACGCAGTTTGCGATCACTTATAGTAGAGTGATCGCTTGCATTATTGTGATGTATAGCATTTATTTTCTACTTTTTAGTTCAATCAGAAAACGTGGGTTTTTAAAAACTTTTTAAATGATAATTAGTGTGTGATATGCTATGCTTTCCTTTATTTTTTATATAATTTAATTATGCTTGTGACCTATCTCATACGTTAGTAAAAAAACTCGTCACTATATATGATATGCTGGTCACATGAGTCACCCCCACGTGATAGGTGCTGGTCACATGACTAGCCTCTATGTTAAAATTCTAATCACATGACTCACGTCCTCATTCCAGATCCAGATTGTGCTACTGATCAGCTAAAATAAATAAACTATTTCGTTAGCAACATGCTTTTTAAATGTTAAATTTAGATCAAACGTTTAATCTTGATTGAATTGCTCCATAAATCAGCTACTTTATATCAGCAGTTTTACCGTAATTTTAAAGTTCTCATGCCAGAAATCCTTTGCCCTAATTGTTGCGGGAAGAAATGCAAAGTAAGTTACAGGCCTACATGTTGTTTTTTTTTTAACCTACTCACGAGATAGAAAATTGTAACATCTCAATGACAAGCTATGAGCGTTGAACGTAGATACCCACATTCTTATCTTGATGCACGTGTTGTTTTGCTCGGTTCATGTAAGACGATACCAGTGGGAAACGTAATTTTCGCGCACTGGTGCTGCCTAAAATTTTCTACATGCAAAATGTTGGTTTATTTTTTTTTTAAATTATGTCTTGGGCACAAGGGTTCCAAATTTGTTTTCGATGGATTCTATTTTAGAAAATAACTTGTTGGTCGATTATCCATTGTGAATTTGATGGGTATCGGAGTACAATATTTTAACAATAGAATAACTGGTGGTGTTTTAGAAATACGTTTTAAAAATGTTTTTATATGTAAACATGTATATATTTTTTAATTTACAAAGCCTTGTCATAGTTTTGTAAGTTCTTAATATTTCGAACACTCCGACTGTTCTAACTGGGGGTTACAACATTTATTTGTACTGATAGGAGGTAAGGGGTTGGATTAATTCCAGTGATTAACGGAAAGTGAGATGAGAGAATATAAAACCCTGAAAATGTTGGTGGTGTAGAATTAGTTAATTATTTGAAGCAAATATTATTAGCTTGGGGGAGAGGGGGGTGGTGTTATGATGTGTGTTTATTCAGGGTATGTTGGTGCGAACGATTGTTGGTGTGAAAGATATAATGAAGGAATGGAATGATGACGAGGAGGAAAGATAGTGAATTTCTGGGTAGAAACTGGTTGCTGTGTATTGTGTTTCAGTTATCTCTTGGTCGTCTTAGAGTAAGGATGATATGAACTGTGTGATTCAATTGTGAGAGTGATTTCGTGAGGCGTCTATATGTACGATAATTGTAAGCATAATTGATTAGTCCCGTAACTTAATAAAGATCGAAAGAAAAAAAAATCCATATGCATCTTGTCGATTTAATTGTCAACTGTATCGTTGAGATGTGTATATTTACTGCCATTGGTAATGGTATCCTCACATGGTAGTAATTTCCTCACAGGGTAGGGGTATCCTCACATGGTAGTGTTATTCTCACATGGTCTTTGTATCCTCAAATGTTAGTAAAAAGTAAAAAAGTTTCCCTTTCAAACCTGACGGTCTATGGGGCAAGTGAAGTAGAGTTCACTTGTTTCTGTGACCTCGGCATATGAAGAGATAGTGTGGTCAGCACTATGCCCAGCCGCCTTTACTTTCCCTAACGTGAGTTAGGTACCCATCAGAGTTGGGTGGACTCAGGGACGTTCTACTGACTTGAACCCGGATTCGAACTCGAGACTTACGGGTTAGTAGTCCAGCTCTCTACCACCTCTGACATATCCAACTCATAAAAAGAAGCACACTCTGACTGCAGGTTCATTACAACACTTTATTTCTTCATGAATAATCACTGTTCAAGGAATAGCGAGAAAGTCAATAGATCTGCAATGTCACAAGTCTACACACTGTATCCCCCCCCCCCCCCCCCACAGTATCTCACAAATTGTCTTTTTAAGTTTGAGCTAAAGCAATCATTATTTTAAACTGTAGACAGAAAAAACCCACATTATTTTAAGGTTTAAGACCAAAAAATCTACGCAAGGTTACTAATTACCATCACAGTGGTCACAATGGAACCACTAGAGAAACTAACAACTCATCAAATAGTATGTACATAATATCCTCAGCAATTATAATACAGCTATGGTCTAACCTTGTTGGTCGCAGTATGTTTAGCTCTACAGGCATACTTGTTGAGATCAATTTTACCTCCACTTGTTCGAATGTTGTCATATTAGCCTCAGCCACATTATAATTATATAGGCAGTGCTTTTTTTTTTGTGACGGTACGTACCGGTACCGCACCTTTTTCAATTTGGGGAGAAATAATTACTTTCCTTGTATTTTAACGTTAATTTGTTAATTGTGAATTTAGTATCTTTGCAGTTGTGTATAAGCTTGAGTAAAGGTGAGAACTGGTAGTTAAAAGTTAGGCAACCTATTTTGTTTTTACAAATAAAAAGCAATGTATGTAGGTATCTATTTGCCCCAAGTGCACCTTTTCAATGACATAATTATGTACAGACCCACATAGAAAGAAACTTAGCCAGCTCTAAGCTTAAGGCTACTGCAGCCTGTGGCTATCGGTTACTAGATAAAATGTATATTATAAGCTAAATATCTTGGGTAAAATAATAATATATTTCTACATTAAATATATTCATCCTATTAAAAGCAATGCCAATATATACAGCAAAAATGCAGATTAGAATGTAAACCAGTATTATACTGTTATGCAATTTAGAAAAGAAGATAGAAAACTTAACTTTATAAATTTCAATAACAGACATTTAAAGTAATCTAGTACACTAAGCAAACCTAAACTTATTTTTTTAGGACATCGCTTAATAATTATTTCCATCACAAATTAATGACATACATTTAAAAAAAACAACACATGATTATTAAGAAAAGGCTATTTTGAACTAATAATTTATAAAACTGCAATTCTAAACTATTTAAAGAAATGATAACAATTTATTTGGTAGGCGAATCAATTACATCTTCTTTGGTTGGTCCTTGTTGAATACAGTTACAGTTTCCACACTTTTGTTCTGCCTTCTGTTGGCAATAAGAGAGTGATGTATGTTTAATATTTGCTTTAATATGTTTTTAATATAAAAGTGGATACCTAGCACAACTTACACATATTAGATAAAAAATAAGCCTAGAGATATTATTTTATACATAATGAAAATGGATTGAGTCTAAACATCAGTTCCTATTATCATATTTCAATAATTAGTATGCAAAATTGCATGTGATGTTGAATAGCTTGTCCATTTTAGTGAAATTATTGAAAATGTTATCTTCTATTGATATCACCATCTTTTCTCATTCATGCACAAGACAGATGAAGTAGAGTTAATCTGTTTCATTGGCCTCAGCATAAAAGCATTATCCTCAGCCACCTTTGCTTTCTTAAAGTAAGTCAGGTACTAATCAGAGCTGGGCGAACTCAGGGCGTCTCACAGACTAAAGCCTGGGACCTGTACTTGAGACTTTCGGGTTAGTAGCCGTAAGCTCTACGATTCAACCACACCATCCCATTATATTAATAATACTGCAAAAGCACTTATACATAGAGAATGAATTGTAGTAGGTGTGAAATGCATTATTTAATAATAAAATTCATTAAAAGGTTATTTCCGCAAAATTAATTATAAAGTTGCCGCCAAAGATAGCAGTTTAGGAATTCTGGACTCCCAATCAACAGATCATAAATTTTTTTTTTACACCAAGCTACCAAAGGAGCAGGCTAAAAATTAGCATCCATTATAATATCAAGCAGTCACTACATGGGATTTGTCACCCTCGAAACTGGTCAGTTCTGATCCAATGCTAGTCAAGAAAAATTGGTATTGTGCGGAATGATGGACTGGTATTCAATTTCTTTGCATTGTTCTGTATTTAAAATGGATGTTTGTCCATCTACTTATGACATTGAAATAACACTTTACATCTAATATTGCAACTTTTGCTGCATTGTTTTATGAAACATTAAAATCACATTTGAGCACAGCTATTCTTATTCACTCAATCTAGAATTATCTTCAGCTGAATGTTCCTACTTATGAAATGATTTTAAACATTGCATTTAAATTTATTATTTTACTATTTTCTAGTGTTTTTGTGATATTTTTGGCTTTTTATAATATTAAAATATAATCTAAAATCATTCAACACTTGATAAATCTGTTGTAATTTTTTTTTCTTTATGGTATTGCTCAGATCTATTGAATAACTTCTTGGAAAGTGAAAACATTTATCTGAAGTTCTTACACATGAACAGCATTACAATTTTTTACAACATTTAAATCACAATCGGAATATACTACCTATTTACCAACAGTTATTAATAAAATATGACTGCATGTTAACAATGTAATTATGTTTGTATTATTTAATTATGTAATATGTACATTAACACTAACTAAATACTTACTTTCTGAAGCGTAAGACAATGGCAGCAATTAGAATCACAACAACCACTACAACTGCTGCTGACAATCCAGAAATTAAAGCAATATGATCTTCACCAACTGAAAAATATACAGAGAAAAATCCAAGAATCAAAACAGATCTGAAAATAATCAATAATAAACTGGTTCATTGAGGACATTGTTTAGAATAGCATAACATACCGTTTATTGTGATGTCATTATGTTTGCTTTGATCACTGTTAGGTACATAGCATGGGTAGACATCTTCAAATGTTACTGGTTCCATAGTGCAATGATCGCTGGAAAAAGATCCTTTGTTTGATGTTGTGCTGCCTACATAATTTTTAGACAAAAAAATTTAGGTGAAAAAAAATGAGATAAAAATTATTTATTTTAAAAAAATAATAAATTACAAGCAATTTAATCAAGTAATTTAATATATATTTTGTTAGTTGTAACAATAGTTCTATATTTTAATTTCCTTACCAACAGGACATTGTTTGCAATAGGTCATTCTTGGTTGATCCTGGAAAAATCCCTTATCACACAAAACACAAGAGCCATTTCCATTAGAATATGACCCTGCTTGACAGTCCACTAAATAATTGACATAAAAATAATAAACTTCTATCCAGCATTTCTATTTATAGTTTAAGTAAATTTTTAATATATATATAGCATACAGCTCTGCTTTTGTCTAACATTTGAAGAGACAAATTTTAGAAAGTGAATTCTCACCACAAAATCCATTATAATACCCAGCCCCTTCCTGGCATAGAACACTGGTTTGAAGTGACTCAATGTTTCCACTGGGAAAAGATCCCCCAAGGAACAAGATCAAACCATCATCTGTTTGATTTACCAGTTGGTTTAGGAGATTTTCAAAATTCATCAGTTTTTCTTTCTCTTGCTCTTTATGGGAATACACTAAAATTACTTTTTGCTTGATAACAACATAAAACATTACATGAAGCAGTTTTCAAAACTGTTGTAATTCAATAATGCAATCTTTTTATTAATAATAGTAAATTAAAATCTAAAATGGGGGGAGGGGAAGGAGGAGTAAATAAGTGCATTTTTTCACTAGCTCAAACAATTGAAACCTAAGGCAGATGAGGCTCAATTTACTGGGGAAAAAAAGTCCTTAATCAAATCCCTCCCTGCTGCCCAGGCATTGTGCTTGTATTTTTACAGCACAATTATCCCATTGTCTAGACCAAGGGTTCCCAACACTGTGCGCGCGGGCGCCATGGCGCCCGCTGAATGATTAGTATGTGCCCACCTCTCACTATTCAACAGAGACAGAATTTTATTCATAAACATTATTTTAAAATATGATTTATTTTTATTCATTTGTTACAGTTTTAAATTTTTTTTGACAGCCTAGGTTTATTAAATATGTTCGATACTTGTCCCAACTTGTCTAGCCAGACTGCACTCTTTACGTTTTGTAAATACATTTCTCTGTGTGTATGCAATTTGAAAACATTTTGAAACATTTTTGTTTATTATTTATTAATACATTGTGACTATAAGAAAATAAATTATGGGAAAATGACAAGTTATGGTAGGAGTTTGTCGATTTAAAATAGGTGGTGCCTGCCACCCTTCCGAGATTTTAGAATGTGCTCTATAGTAAAAAAAAAGGTTGGGAACCCCTGGTCTAGACTAAGAGGGTCAAATTATATTGATTTATTAATATGTATTATTTTTGAAAAACTTTTACTGTTACACTTTTGTAATATGAAAATTAAAGGAAATGTACTTAACACTATAGTATATTAGACCTTATGCACAGTTTGCTTAAGCGTAGAGAACTGTAACATTCCAATTTATTAGTTATTTTCAAATTTAAAAGCAGCAAGAAAAAATAATTACCAGGAGTGGAGTCATCATCCAAAGTCTCTGTTTCACTTTTAGTTGTCAGTGATAAATTTATAGTTAATGTCAAAGTACCTGTTAGAAAATTAGAAATTAGTTTAACTTCTTTTTTACTTTCTATCCAAATACAAAAGTAATTTTTAAATCTTAAAAGGTAGAATTTACATAAATTTAATCTAAAAATCATATTTTTTCTGTTTTAAAAACTTCATTATCTTTTTTCAGGTTATTTTTATTTTTTAAATATTATTGAATAAAATTATAAAATAAAATAAAATATATTTATAAATAGTAGCATTAAACAAAGCAGAATGATAAATACATTATTTCTGTGTATTACTAAAATGTCTTTAATCCTAAATAATTGTTATTAAATTATATATTAGGCCTATATTAAATCTTGATGAAAGAATAACTGTATATTAAAAAATGTGTTAGAAAAGTATTTGACTACCAAGTGATCTCTTTTTGCTGACAACACAGTTTGACAAAGAATTAATGTCAAAAAAACAATTATTCTCTTTTGTACATCCATTTCGCCTTAATTGATCTGAAATAAGATTCTGCATTTCTTCTATGTTTGTCTTGTTGTTGCAGTCAATATCAAATGTAGCTATGATTGCAGGCTCAACTTGTAAGGGCACATTCTTATCTAAGAAAAAAATGAGCTCATTAAATTTACACAGTTAAAAAAATTCTAACTTGAAGAAAAAATTCTATCAAATATATTTTAAATGTACAAAAATCATATAACTATTTTAGTGTGAAGTTGTGGTTAATAGTTTGAAAAAGAGAGTGTTACTTAAAATAATTAAATAGAGAAATAACCTAGAAGTTACAAACAGTGTGTGATAAAGAGTAAGGTTTTATAGAAGAATATATAATCTAGAGTGTTTATTATTCTAATAGCATTATGTAATTAGGGTTCATCCATAAATGACGTCACACTCGTAGGGGGGCGGGGGGGTCCGTTATTTTGTGATGATGTGTGATGAGGGGGAGGGGGGGGGGGGGTTCAGATGTTGGGACGTCACACTTTTGCATCATAAAAAAGCAATGTTAGAAAACGAATTTTAGACGTTATTTCGCGTTTTAGATAACTGTTTTAATAAATTGTAATAATTTAGACAAGATTTTGGAAGAATATCGATGTTTAAAAATTCAACTGCAATTTTGAGGAGGGTTGTAGGTTGAGGTGTGACGTCATTTTAGGGGGGGGTCTGGCTTTTTGTGACGACGTGTGACGGAGGGGAGGGGGGGGGAGGTAAAAATCGTCCAAAAAAGCGTGACATCATTTATGGATGACCCCTTAAATATTTTGCATAACCACCTGTACAGGCAGGGAGAAGACCAGTTGGATTATCAACAGTCTGGTGAGTCCAGGTATAGTTTGTTGCTGGCCCACACATGAAAGTGTTGTCAAACTCTACAACAGTTAAACCAGGCTCACAGACGATGCTACAGATCTGCATCTCATCACCCGTAAAATTGGTGCAGTTCAAACTCTTGTGTCCCTCTCGTAGTTCCGGCTTTTTGCATTCTAAAATATACAATGGATACAATCAAAGTTAAATCAAAGAAAATATTGTAAGAGGCTTAATAAATAATTTTTAAGGTTTATAGTTTATATATATATATATATATATATATATATATATATATATATATATATATATATATATATATATATATATATATAGTGTAATGGAATGTGATGTATAATGAGAGGAGTAAAACTTACCAGGACATGGCTTCACATTACATGTGATCTTCTCAACAGCTAGTGAACTGTCACACTGTGCCCCTCCTTTACTTGGAGGAGGATTATCACATAATCTTCTCCTGATGGAACTTCCACCTCCACAACTTGCACTGCATTGGGACCATTCTGACCAGTCGCCAAATTTACCATTCACTGTAAGAAAATATGAGAAAATAATATAAACAGTTTAACCAGAATGTTGAATAGTATAATACTTTATTATATATATAATGATGACACTATGGCTCTTGAGCTAAAACAGCTCCCAGCTGCCAAATCCAGTGGGTTTAGACCATCATCTCAATAAAAAGGTTTAAATTAAGAAAAAAGTTAATTTATTGAAACAATTTATTCAAATTTGATACAAAAAGAGAACTTCTTATTGCAAATTTAATGTTGTATTTAATTAATGCAATTTAAATGTAATTTTTATTCTTTGATAAGCCTATCAGATAAAGATAAGTATTATTTACTAATGGATATATAAATGTATTGAAAACTAAGGAAAAAGTACTTTCTTCTTAAGGAAGTCTAGCACATTTCATCATTTAAAACAATTATATCTCTCTGAGTTTTATCATTTAAATTAATTGTTTTTTGTAAAGAATGCATACAGTATTAACTGTGATTAGCAATGTATTTGGCAAAATCATCCTTGCTTGCAAACATCTGATACATGGTAATTTCTCTTGTGGAACGGAGACAACTCAAATAATATTTAAGAATGAAAAAGACTTCAAAATATGACATTATTTTGGATATTAAATAAAAAAATCAACAAAAATGCATGATGCCAATTTTCATTTTGTACATGTAAAATGATTTGAAATCGTTAACTTACCTGGACAGTCGGTTAGATTACAGGAGATGACTGTGAGATTCAGACCTTGGCAAGGCATACCACCACCAGTTGCATCATTCAAGATTGTCCGGGTCCTTATTGCTTGTTGGTCACCACAAGTACCAGAACATGGAGAGGTTACCCATTCACTCCAATGGCAATCTTAGAATTAAATAAACAATAATATTAAAATAGCAAAATCATACAAGGGTTAATATAGATATCATCATCATCTTTTCCTGTTTTTGCCCAAGACACTTGAGGCAGATGAAGTTGAGTTATCTGTTTCCATGACAAGGGGATAATGTGGTCAACACTATGTCCAATAATATATTAATTAAAAAAAATTGAAAAAAAATCAGCTTGAGGTGCTGTATTAATTAAATATGTGTATACTTTTCCATCTCTAGATACAAATATCTAAACGGAAAGCGATTCAATTTATACAATGATTTACACAAATGAAAATTCAAAAAATTTTTTATTAAAAAATAACTACACATCATAATCTAACCTTGACATGCACTCTGACACACCTCTGTTGCTATGCCAACACCTTGACACGCAGCTTGACCCAGACTGTTGCATTGTCGAGTTCTTGTCCTCTCCCCAAAACCACATGCCACTGAGCATTTTGACCAGGAACTCCAGGCACCCCAGCTTGCTATCTCTCGAGATGCTAGTTCAACCATAATAAAAACTTCATGTTTAGATGTTCATATTGATACAGATTGATTATTATACTACATTGATAAAATTTGCTAATCTCCTGAGTTAGTCATGCCAAAATAACACATAGTTTTTAGAAGCTTGACCGACCTAATTTATCATGACACAACAGCCCAAAGAATCCAGGTGCGCAGCTGCACGTATAGTTTCTATCCTCCGGTCTGTTGACACAAGTTGACCCATTGGCACACAGATTGTCAGCACAGAAATCTGTGACATTCTGGCATCTGTCACCTGACCAGGGACTGTCACACTGACATGTCAGGTTTTGGCTGCCAATGACACAGACGCCATGTTGGCCACATGGTTTACCAGAACAGAGGTCTTTATCTGGTGGAATACAAATCATGTATCATTTGTAAGCACAATTACATTTTACAAATTGCTCATTTTTATCAAGCTTTATAACATAGTTATTTATTATATAAAAATAGACCGATAGTTTGTATACTAGAGTGCAGTATAAAACAAGGTTTAAAAATTAAAGTATATTAAATCAAAGGTAAAAAAAATTAATTTTGTTTACCAACACAAGTGCTGGTTGAAATCAATGTGGGGCTGAAAGGATTTGGTGCTAGGACCTGCTTGTCAACCTGTTTGGTACATGAAAGGCTGAACTCTTTGATTTGCAATGCTGAGTAGAGAGTTGTTGTCATCTGAATACCATTTATTACAACTTCTGTAAAGGAAATGAATAGCAAGTCATTTTAGAAAATTATTTAAGTAAAAAAAGATGTATAACAAATTACTGACTAATAAATTAATCGACATAGCAATGTTTAGGAACAAATAAATCACAGATCAGAAAAAATAATGATTATTAGTCACTGGTTACTTTTAATTGATAAATGTGTTCTTTTTTAAAGATGTAATATAATCTTGTATAAGAAATTCCAGGAACTATATTTTTTTAACAAGTGATTGAGTATGGAATGTTCTGTTTTTAAGTTTTAGTGTTGGTTGGGTTGCAATCAGAAATTTAATTATGTAATGTAGCCTGTTAAGATATTATGTTTTTAAGACTCACTTGATATATCTTTAGACTTTTTGAAGTAGAGAGATTTCTTATCTAGAGATGTGAAATTCAGTCCTGAAGAGAAGTATATTTGCTGACCATTTAGATAAAGAGTCACATTTCCATTAGAATATGCAATAGCCAAATGATTCCATTTTCTGAAATAAGTATTAAGAAATACAAATGTATTTTGTACAAACTAAAGATAGAAGTAAATCATAGGCTAGTATGTAGGCTACAAATATTCAGACCTTTTTATAATAAAAAATATAAATAATCCATTATATTTATTAAAAATTTCATTTTGAACATCAAATAGCACTCATCAATCAAAAATGAAGGCAAATATCAAAGGATAACCTTAGGTTTCTGTTAAAATCAGCTGTTACTGGAGCTAAGTTGATCACAAACTGATCTAGCAAAAGTTTGGCTGTGCTGTTATTCACTACGTTAACTGATGCAACTGTTGTATCAAATATCCAAGTCATGAGAGTGAATCTTTTAGGCACTGCATCAAAGATTTGGATTACAGGCCCAGTGCTGTTTTCTGTCATCTTCACATCATAAACTATGGAGGAAAACAATGAAAATGTGAATGTGCAAATGTAACTGTTAACAAATAGATATTATGTTCTAGTTTGTTAAGGTGTTCGATAAGTTTAAAATATATCTTTATACGTTGTTTGTGTAATCCTACTTAGGATTTACATAAAACTTGTATGCTTTTTCAAGGCTTAAAAGCAGTTTCTGCTAGGTTGTACATTTAAAACAATATACACAAATCATAAAAATTGCAATAAAGATTTGTGAATTAACAATAACATATATATAGCATACTTTTCATAAATAGAGTATGTTTTGAGCAAAGTACTTGAAAACGTTATTAGCTATACAATATAATATTTTCTAAATGCAAAATTTTGAAACCTCATCCTTATTGTTTCTCACTAAAATGCAACATTTCATGAAATTGAAATCTAAAATAAATATGATATTTAAAATGAAATATAAAAACATAAAAGTTAATACTAGTTGTATGTTTCAAAGAAAAAGTTAACATTTACATTGGCAAGCAGAAGATGCATTCTGTCCAGGTAAAGTTGTTGAGGTTCCATAAGGACATTTGTTGCATGAATACTAGTTTTATATTTCAAACAAAAAATAAAATTAACATTTACATTGGCAAGCAGAAGATGCATTCTGTCCAGGTAAAGTTGTTGATGTTCCATAAGGACATTTGTTGCATTGTTTCATGCCAATATCAGACTGGTAGGTGCCGACAGGACACGGTTTGCAGGGTTTGGTGCCGTTCTGTGATACAGTCCCAGGGGTGCATAAGTCTAGAATAACAAACACAGATCACATTTGACGCAAGTGCCAGTAATAGCACATTTTATGAACCTCAGCTATACTTAAAATTTAATAAAAATAAACCAGGTTGATGAGTTGTTTTATGATTAGTAAACTATCTCATTATTTTCATGTGTTTTAATAACAGCATGTATTTACAAATCATTGCTGCAGACAGTAGCAGATAGACATTAGCAATAACATTGAGCTCAGTAAATAAACAAGCATTAGAATATTACACTTTTACGGCTAACACTAACTACCAAAAAATGCTTATGCTCTTTTAGTTTTAAACTCTGAATAAGCTTAAAATATATTTCAATATTTTACATCCAATGTTTCTAGTAAATGTATATAAAAAATTTCTAATATGTTTGCCAAATTTTAACATGTAAAATATTTATCTGAGATAGGCCTAAATGTTGGCAATCATTCAGCTTAATAATCGGTAACCTTTTTGCCTGATAAAAATTTATTCTTCATTGAAACAATGGGAGTTCAAAAGCGGTTTTCTCAATTTATAAATTTATGATCAAAATTTACAAATACCTTAAAGTGAATACAACAAGAAGGTGACATATCTAAAGTTTTGTTTAAAATTAAAGTTGAAGTTTTAAATCAAGTAGATAAACAAGTCAAATAAAAAAAAATATTTACCCAAGCATTGGCTGGGAGAGTTAGAACTTTTGTCTTTTGTAGTTTTACCAACAGGACAAGGGATGCAGGAGAAAGCAACATCTTTGTCCTGATAGGTCCCCACAGGACAAGACAAACAGGACTCTGTTTCATTGTTGAACATATAGCCTGCTCCACATCCAGCTGAAAAATATTGGTTGAGTATTTTTTTTAAAAACAACAGAAAATATATATTGGATTAGATTTGATATTTAATCATATGAAATACTAATACAATATTTGTTATTTTTTTGACTAACTAATTATTGTGAAAAAAACAAATGAAAATATATTAAACTTTAGGATTAGTTGTTTTTAAACATCAAGTAAGTCTTTTACAAAATAAAATAAATGAATAAGACATACTCATTTTTAAAATTGCTTATGTAGAACCTACAGATTCAAGTGTCAAATAAACCAAATTTGCATTATATATATGCCTACTTCTAAATTATGATTCTTTATTATGATGTTTTATAACTTGATAATTTAATTTATTTAGAAAAAAACCCATAGGACTTGATGTCTATGTAGCAAATGAATTAAATTTCTTCTGTTTCTTTCACTAAATCATATGCAGGTTGTCATTATTATGTCTAGCATTTATAGTTAAATAACTATGTGAATGTAAAAACCAAAATACATATGGTTTATCCACTTACCACATGCCATTGTCCTCTGCACCATTTTCATTCCTGGATCACACTTAAGTCCAACTTGACCATAGTCAAACATGTCAAAAGTGCCGATACTTGGTACATTCAGGAGACCTGCATCCGCTTTGGCTTGAATCTTGTCATTGATGCCCATCACAATCTTGTCGTAGTACTGGAAAGTTGACTCAGGGCTGCCCTTATCTCGATACTCTCCGATATTGATGATTACAGAAATCTATGCAACAAAAGTACTTTCGTTACGAAAATGTAACCGTTGCTCAAAAGCTAAATGTTTAATGCTAACTGTGAATATTTAACTAAATAATTTATTATAAGGGGTCACACTTTAAAAGCATCCTTCAAGCATATGGGGACCGTAGGTTTCGTAAATGTGGAAGCACACCATTTATGTCATTGTATTTGAGTTTCATTACTTAAGTTTGCATAATTAAAGTTTTTCTAGTGAGTTCATATGTTTCTTGACCTCGGCATATGAAGGGATGGTGTATATTAAGTGGTTTTTAAAAGCACTGGTAAAATTAATAACTTCGGAAAAATAAAATCTCACAGCCAAGCTCCCATTTCAGACTTAAAGATCCATAGGGCAGATGAAGTAGAGTTCATGTTTCTTGACCCCAGCATTTGAAGGGATGGTGTGGTCAGCGCTATGCTAAAGTCCGAACCGGGATCCGAACTCGTGACTTTCTCGTTAGCAAACCCAAAGCAGGGTTATCATGGACGTGTGTGTGTGTGGCCTAGCGATAGTCTCGAGTTCGAATCCGGGTACAAGTTAGTGGATCGTCCCTGAGTCCACCTAACTCGGATGGGTACCTAACTCATGTTAGGGAAAAAGGCGGCTGGGCATAGCTTTTATATGCCGAGGTCAAGAAAAATATGAACTCCACTTCATTATAATACCTGGCAACATAGAAATCCACAATTTTGAACAGACTTAATATAGTCTTTAGGAAAAATAGTGAAACAACATTTGATCTTTTAGGGGGTGTACTTGTTTCACAATGCTAGATTGTAAAACCCGCTTCAGAATGTAACGACAAAAAACATTGGGTAGTAAACTATTATTGATTAGGATAGAGATTGCAGGGAAGAAAACGATATACAAACATTCAAAATGTAAATTTGTCTAGTTATCAAAAAACTTGAAAATATTTTTTTTTAAACAATCAGAGTTATCTATAAAGCTACAAAAGATAAGGAAAGTATCTATATATATAATTCTCTTCTTCGAGCCGTTAGAAAACAAGCTGCAACCTCGCCTTACAGTCCCCTCTCTTCCTCTATATCAATATCACAACCACCCCCACCCCGCCCCCACATTGTCTGGTGAGTTGTGTTCACTCTGTTTACATTTTACAATCACAGAGACGGGTTTGGTGACGGCTATTAGGGGCAGATAATTTAGTTTGAAACGATTTTAAACTTAGAGGAGGTAACTTAGAGGAGGCTGCTTTCACGTGGGGGGGGGGGGGTAGTGTTTTTAAGCAAATATTTTCAATGGCAGCATTGGTACTGTCGAATTCACAAATTAAAAATTACTGAAAAGTAGAAAAAAAAACAACTAAAATAGCGGCGTATGATACGCAGCGGGTCGGCTCGTTTAAACTATTTTAACAATTAAATGTTTTATTTACCTGGTATTCATGCGCTGTAGACTGAGTGTCCCTCCTCTTCCTACGCGAAAAAGTGCCACAGGAAACGTCGACACTGTCGATAGTGCAAGTCGAGTCCTCTGAACAGAGATCACTAAATATAGACAGAGCTACGGCCTGGACAAACTTCTGCTTGATGTCAATGCTGTCATTGCTGCAACTTCCGGTGTAGTAGTAAAATTGTAGTTCAGTGGTTACAGCTTTCACTTTTCCCTTTTCTAGACAATATGAATCATCAATTACATTTTTTAAAGTAAATTTTCTATTTTGCTTTCAGACATAAAGATACATAAGGCAGATGAAGTAGAGTTCGTTTGTTTTTTTACCTCAGCATATAATTTACATTTCCAACAAGTTTGAAAATGGTGTATATATCTTTTATTATGGAACGGCGTGGCCTAGCTGTTGGGAGCTAGACAGCCAAACCGAAAGTCTCGAGTTGGAATCCAGGTTCAAATCAGTAGAAAGTCCCTGTCCACCCAGCTCTGATGGGTATTAACTGACGTTTGGAAAAACAAAGGTGGATGACATGCGCTGACCACATTATCCCTTCATATGCCGAGGTCTCTGAAACAGATGAACTCTACTTCATGTACCCCATGTGTCTTGCACAAGAACGAGAAAAAAAATGATAATCTATCTTTTATTATAACAACTTACTGACACAGCCTTGCAATGTAACATTGGGTAGCCAAGTCCCTATTCGTTTAATACAAGTCAGCTGGAAAGGTGCTTGGTAGGGATACGTGTATTGTTCATTGCACATGACGTTGCATACATCGGTGGCACCGCTGATCGAAATACAAGCCAAAGCGCCGTTGATGGGTGGTTTTAGTTTTCTGCATGATTTAGCTGCAAGAAAAGATTGAACTTAAAAATCACTTGATGGAAACTAAATAATGTAGTAAATGTAATCAAATCCATCTTCAAACACATTCTTAATCACACACGCCTACGCATAGAAAAAACACTTCAACACGCACTCCCAGAAGAATAACAATGACATAAGCGAACATGCACACTTATACACTGAAATATATTTAAAATATATTTAAAAAAAACGTTGAAAATGTGTGTAAAAATTATTACGATTGCAATATGGGTACGCGTTCCCTTCTATTTTCCAGTCTAACTCCATGGACTTGTTAATTTTATCACATGTCACTCTGTTTGACCCTGTCAGGGGATCCCCGCTTGAGCAGTTCATCGAACAGGAGGCGCCGTAGACAAATTGATCCGGGCAGTCATAAACGATCACATTTTTTCCTGATGTGTCCAGATTAGGGGCATCACACGAGATAGCTGTTGTAATTTTAAAAAGTAGCGTAACAGTTCCAGTGCATCTTTAGCATTTTAAATCTAATAATTAATTTATCGTTTAAGAGATCATAGCTTAGATTTTCGAATACACTAATCACTGTATTACTTTGTGTATCTTTAGCATTTTAGGTCTAATAATTGATTTATCATTTAAGAAATCGCAGCTTAGATTTTAGAATAAACTCTTCACTATTTTACTTTGTGTATCTTTAGCATTTTAAATGTAATAATTAATTTATCGTGTAAGAAATCGTAGCTTAGATTTTAGAATAAACTCATCATTATTTTACTTTGTGCATCTTTAGCTTTTAAATCTAATAATTAATTTATGGTTTAAGAGATCGTAGTTTAGATTTTCGAATACACTCATCACTATGTTACTTTGTATCTAAATCCTATATTATAATTAGAATGTCCCTACATTTAACCGTTATGTAGAACGAGCAGTTGGCTTGGTTTCCTGTTGAATCGGTTGCCGAAACAACCACCTGGTTGGCCCCGAGTTGGAAATCTGATCCGGAGATCGGGTTGGAGTGAATGACAACCCCCTCTCCAGAGTTGTCCACAGCTTCGGGTAAAGTGTAATTCACATAGTTGGGTTGGTGGACAGCCGTGGCGATAACTTCAAAGTCTTTTGGACAACCGTTCGGAAACTTCGGTGCTTCGATATCTGGGGGTAGAAGAACATTGAAATTCGCAACAAGATTTCCTATTTTATTTTAAACGCATAGTTTCCTCAAGGTTGTGGTGTTGAAATAATTTAATCCCTTACAACATAAGCATATGCTACTTAATTATGGTTATGAGAAGTTGCATTTACCTAAACACGAACCAGAGACAGACCACTGCTGGTCACTTTTGCAGACAATCGTTATGGGAGTGAACCGTTTAAAACCAGGGTTGCAGGTTAAGGTGCAGACGTCTTTGTATCTTAATCCAGTTAGACAAGAATAATTTCCTTGCGACACGTAATGTGGGGCACCACATTCTCTCGCTGTTAATCAGAACATACATTGAAAGAGAACTTATTTAACACAAACTTTTATTTTAATAAAATAATTTCTTTTAACGCTATAGGCCTATTAAGTGAGATTTCAAGACATATACTGATATGGCGAAAATGTTAATAATAATGGGCTCAAATTTGCTTGGTGTAGAAGAAAATAGGACTATTAAATGTGGCATTTAATTTTTTAAATAATAAAATGTGAATTTAATTGAAATCTTTTAAATCAAGACTAAACAGAAAACATATTTAAAAATATAAAGCAGATCACCAGATGGCCTACCCAACCATGACAGAATGTAGGTAAGAATCTGCGAATAGTTTTCTGACTAACAGACCACCATTGAATGAGTCAATACATATTTTTTTAGAAAATAAAAGTTGCTCATCGCCACACATGTAGTAAAGCCCTTACAAATATCGAACTTGTACCAAAAGATTGAAATTTATCCGCAATAATTGCTGTGAAGTCTGTGTCCCAGAAAACCCCTCTCAGTGCAATTACTAGAGAGTTTCTACCAGGCATCTGTTCGTGGAAGGGGCTCTGTCCGCCCCTAATCCACCCCCCACCACCGAAAAAGATTTACCCCCCCCCCCCCCCAGAACGAAATGAAATTGATACAGAAAATATATACTTATGCAAATGTCCGCCCCCCCCCCCAAAAAAAAAATTGGTCCCCACCCCCGGAAAATGTAGTCCGTCTCCCCCGCCCCGAAAAGAAAATATGAAGTTACCCCCCCCCCCCCCCCCAATCTCCCCCGGAGAAAATAGTTTGAAAGAAACACTGGCCCTGAGGTGGCTTGCTGAGTTGTAATAATATGTGCAGTTCGTGGACAGAGGTAGATTTATAAAGTTACTTTCCAATGATACACATATGAACAAAAAACACAAAGAGGTGAATATGTGCATATTTTAAAAAGTTAACCGGACAAAAAATAATAGATTTTCTCTTTTCAGACAAGTAATAGTTAACACAGCAGCCTAAAATACATTTAATTTTAGAAATTTTGTTTTAGACTACTCACGCGTGCAGGAAGGTTTCGATCCACTCCACGTCTGGTTCAGCTGACACGTCTGGGAATCTCCACCCACCAGCTGGTAACCTTGGTTACACACGCTGGTACACACAGACCCGTAGGCGTCGGCGTGAGAACAGCTGACATCAGCGTTTTCTATAGACTCGTAGTAGGGGCATCTTTTGACTAGTGTTC